CAAGAGAGAAATGTTTTTAAAACATATGCCATGTGTTGGTGGAAGCCAGAGATGGAGACTTTATCCTGACTTCTCGGCTGGGTTCCCCACTATCCCACATCACCTCCCTGAACAGAATCAAAAACGTTTGGCATCTCACTTTAAGCTGGTTTTTTATTTTTTTTTAATTGTCCTTTAGGTTCTGGGGTACATGTGCAGATCATGCAGGATTATTGCATAGGTACACACATGGCAATGTAGTTTGCTGCCTCCATCCGCCCGTCACCTGCATCTGACATTTCTCACCATGTTATCCCTCCCCAACCTCCCTGTGATCCCGCTATCCCTACCTTGGACCCCCCCCCAACAGACCCTAGCGTGCGATGCTCCCCTCCCTGTGTCCATGTGTTCTCATTGCTCAACACCCACCTATGAGTGAGGTTTTTGAGGTGTTTGATTTTCTGTTCTTGTGTCAGTTTGCTGAGAATGATGGTTTCCAGATTCATCCATGTCCCTACAAAGGACATGAACTCCCTAACACCATAAAAACCCTAGAAGAAAACCTAGGCAAAACCACTCAGGACATAGGCATAGGCAAGGATTTCATGACTAAAACACCAAAAGCATTGGCAACAAAAGCCGAAATAGACAAATGAGACCTAATTAAACTCCAGAGCTTCTGTACAGCAAAAGAAACAATCATTAGAGTGAACCGGCAACCAACAGAATGGGAAAAATTTTTTGCAGTCTATCCATCTGACAAAGGGCTAATATCCAGAATCTACAAAGAACTAAAGAAGATACACAAGAAAAAGAAACAAACCCATCCAAAAGTGGGAGAAGGATATGAACAGGCACTTTACAAAAGAAGACATATATGAGGCCAAGAAACATATGAAAAATGCTCATCATCACTGGTCATTAGAGAAATGCAAATCAAAACCACATTGAGATACCATCTCTTGCCAGTTAGAATGGCGATCATTAAAAAATCAGGTGACAACAAGTGGTGGAGAGGATGTGGAGAAATAGGAACACTTTTACACTGTTGGTGGGAGTGTAAATTAGTTCAACCATTGTGGAAGACAGTGTGGTGATTCCTCAAGGACCTAGAAATGGAAATTCCATTTGACCCAGCAATCCTATTACTGGGTATATACCCAAAGGATTATAAATCTTTCTATTATAAAGACACACACACATACATGTATGTTCACAGCAGCACTGTTTACAAGAGCAAAGACCTGGAACCAATCCAAATGCCCATCAATGATAGAATGGACAAGGGAAATGTGGCACATATACACCATGGAATATGACGCAGCCATAAAAAGCTGGGTTTTGAGTTTAGAAACTTTTAATGGAATTAATGGGCAGGAACATCAGTTAAAGTAGATTTTTGACTGCTGACATGCCAGCCTGCAACATTTTCATAGGTACCCAAGTTAAGAATTTATTTATTTCCTCAATTTGCTATAAATGGAATTAACAACAGGCCATTTGTAGACCTGAAAAACCACAGATGCCAACAGAAGCAATCACATCTTTCATATTTTATGCTTATTTGAGTCACTGAGTGTGGGGACCATTGAAGAGAAAAGTATAGGTGATGATTTCCACATCATCATTGTCATCGTTGTTGTTATTATAGTTGCTATTAATCAAAGCTGAGAAATTTCAAGTGAAAAAACAAATCTGAAATGTGATTGTACCCTGAAGTGTCCCTCTTCTTGCCCTCTCCTTCTCTAAGGAATAGATTTGAAAACCCAGGCTCATGTCTAAATAAAAATAAGTTAGATTTTAAAGTTCATTTCCAGCAAACTTTAGAAGGTGATATGATTGGACTCTGTGTCCCCACCCAAATCCCATCTTGAATTGTAATCCCCAGGTGTGAAGGAGGGGCCTGGCGGGAGGTGACTGGAAAATGGTGATGGTTCCCCCCATGGGGTTCTTTTAATAGTGAATGAGGTCTCACGAGAGCTATGGTTTTAAAAGTGCTTGGCAGTTCCTCATTTGCTCTCTCTCTTTCTTTCCTGCCACCATGTAAAACACGCTTTGCTTCCCTTGTGCCTTCTGCCACACCTGTAAGTTTCCTCAGACCTCCCCAGCCATATGGAACTGTGAGCCAATTAATTAAACCTCTTTCCCTTATAAATTACCCAGTCTCAGGTAGTATCTTTATAGCAGTGTGAGAATGGACTGATACAGACGGAAATACTATTTCTTTTGGTATGGATGGCTTTAAAGTCTTGTCTTCCCGTTGGGTCAACCATATTCAAATAACTAGGCTTCTAGCATTTCTAGTCACAAGATACATGAATGGGAGCAGTTCCAGGTGATATTATAGGGTATTTATAACAGACCTAGACGAATGAGATATTATAAATTTCAATATCTTGTGTCTTTGAGAACAGCCCTGGAACATTTTTTAAAGTTGTTTCTACTGCTGGAAAGTGGTTTAAAACTCTTCTTTGAAGAAGTCTGTTAGAGTGATAAGAGGACTTGACTCAGAGTGAGAGCCTGGCTCTGGTCCTTAATCTCTTCTTCTAACCTGGGCAAGTTACTCTTCTTCTTTGGCCTTGAGTGTTTTATTCACAAACATGAAGACTCAATAGTAACCACAATGCCTTTTAACTTGAGAATTCTTTGATTCTACAGATTGCTTCCAAAGTCAGTTTATAGGCACAAAGTAAAAATGTGATCATAAATTTAGACAAGTGATATGGGTCATTTATAGCAGTCCACAGACTTTAATCTGCTTAAGATTCATTTGAGGTGATTGTGTGAAAGGCAGCTCCAGGGCCTCATCCATAGATATTCTTTTTTTTTTTTTTCACTGTGATCTTCATTTACTATAGCATGTATAAACCCCTCACAGCCAGCGCCTGTCAGGGGCCCAGGACACTGTCTGGCAGGGCCAAGGAACCACAATGCTGGGCACATAGCCCACACCCTGGCCACCAGGCAGCAGTGCCCAGCATCCCTGAATGGCAGAGCAGCCAGGGCCCCAGTGGTGACTGTCCTAGAGGGACCTACGGGGCATGGGGCCAAAGCTGGGCCCTGCACCTTGTTTGGCCTGCAGATTTAATTTCTGAATTAGTTTAGTTTCTGCCAACAATTTAAAAATCAGGACACCTCACATAGAAATCTGTATTCTGGCTTCTCCAGATTTCTGGAATTAGGCCTGCATTCCCACATCAGAGCAATCAGAGCAATTAGCTACACCTGAACATGGCAGTGACCACCGTCAGAGGGAGACCCACCACACTCTATTGCTCTCAAGGCAAGTGGCAGTTACCCACTAGATTGTGCGAATTTTCTCTCATCACGATGTCTTTGTCTCCAGCAACAGTGGGAAAGTCAAAGTGAAGCAGGCTCCCAATTCCAGGGCCTGCTTCATCCACTTATAATGATCTACGTGGCTGCAGGGGCATCCGAGGTTGAGATCTCTGGACAAGCCCAGGGAGGGGGCGGCAGGGTAACTGTACACATACCCCTTGCATAGCTGATGAGGCGGAGCTGAGGGCAGCAGCCACCCTTCCTAAGCCTGAGCCAGTTGGCTCTTGAGAAATTCCCAAACTCCGGGAATCTGGAAGGGCTAGCAGGCAGGCACAGGCTCTACTGGCGAGAGGTTGCGGGAGGAAGCCAGACCCAGGGAGTGTGGGGCCGGCGCGCCCTCTAGTGCACATCAGGGAGCTCTGCAGCCACGGCTAAGATGCCGAACCTGATTCCTAGGAGTCAACCATCCAGACCCCCCTGAGCCAGGCTCACCCCAGTCCCCTGGCTTCCAGCTACTTCTTTGCAAAATTGTCCTGACCCCATCCCACCCCTCTGACCCTCTCCTGGGCACTCTACTCCCACCGGAGTCCCCAGCAAGGCCACCTCTCCCAGGTTACACTCTCTTCAGAGCGGGGTCCAGCCTCCCGATCCTTCAGGTCCCTGTGTTGCATTCCAGGTTGGCCCGCAGCGGCCTCGAGGTGCAGGGAATAACCCCGCAGAGGTGAGAGAGGCCAACTCCAAGTGTACCAGGGTCAGATGGCACTTAGGTGAATAGAACAGACCACCTGGGTCCCCTGATGACAGGGGAGGCAGTGTCCCAGGTAGTATTGCCACTGAAGAGCTGGCGTAGCCAGGTGGTCATTCTTCAAAAGAAGCTGTGGATCTGGACACTTATTTGAAATCTACCAATTTTTAAAGGTTGGCTCAAGGATATAAACCACTCAGTCCAAAGAAAACATGTCGGCAGGGTGGCGCCAGGCCAGGGGCCCCAACCAGAGAGTTCTGCTGAGGCCCCACGTGGACAGGACCTCGAAAATGGTGGGCATAAGCCAGTGGTTTTCAAAGTCATCATTCCATTTGCTCCTGAGAGGCAAGCAAGAGAGAGAAAATTCTTGGCCCCATTTCAGAGTCTGAAACACTGAGGCTGAGGTGGGTTCCTGGCAGGCTCAAAGTCACAGTTCATGGAGAACACTCTGAAGCTGCTTGAGGCAGTGGCCCCAGGAACACATCCCATACAGCCACGCACAGAAAAGTGCATCCCAGCACTGGGGAGCAGGAAACAGGGGCGGGCCCTCCACACAGCGCCTCCCACCCCACCTGGCCCGCACCCTCTGAGCTGCACCCTTCCTAGTCCCCTGGAGATCCCGCTACCCCAAGTGTCGCCGAGACAGTGGCTCCCTGTGCACACGTGTGCCTGCATGTGTATGTGCGTGCGCACACAGGACAAGTGGCCCAGGCAGAAGCACAGCAGCTATCTCCGTGGGTGGACAGCACAGTGGCTCAGGCGAACCTCTCAGGGCTCAGTCCCAGCAGGAACGCCTCCTGCAGCCTTGCCCATCAAGAGTGTGGTCGGAGGGTCCTGGGGGGCCCCCGAGGCTGGGTAAGCCAGGCATATGGCCATGGCCTGTGGCGGCCTCACCAGTTGGCTTTCACTGCTTTGATGTCACTCACCAGTTTCTGGGCCAGGCAGATGCCAAAGATCTGGAGGAGGGTGATGCCCAAGAAGACCCCGGCCATGACAATCAGGTTGTCCTGCAGCCACTTCTCAAACTGGCCCACGCAGCCTTTGGTGTGGATGAAGCCCTGCTGCTCCAGCTCCAGTTTGAGCCGGACGTTGTAGCCACACTGGGTGTTGAGGACATCTTCCACATGCAACTGTAACTGAGAGTGACACCCGGCCAACCTTCAAGCTGCCTAGGAGCAGACATTGGCTGCAGCTGTGTTTATCTGGATGTACAGGGTGCAGGGAGACCTCCAGGCAAGTCCCCATGCCTGTGCCCTAAGGTCCCGCCATTTCCATCTCACGATGCAGCAGGAGAAGGGCACCCACAGCGCTCCCAGCTAGGGTTCAAGTCAGTGCAGTTGAAGTAGATATTGAGGTTCCAGTCGTTGGGGCCTGGGGCTCCGCAGCAAGACCAGTATTCCTGAGCAAAGTCAATGAGGTTCTGGAGGTCAATGTCGTCCCGGTAGGCCTTGACGTTGTTGTTGATGAAGAGGTCGAGCTGGTCTCGAATCCAGCCCTTGAAGACAAAGGCCTGGATCCCTGTTGCCAGCTCCAGGAAGAAGATGAGGCCGAGGAACACGGAGAACTGTGCATCCATTCCCCTTTGTCTGGTATTCACACCCTGCTCTCTCTGAAAAACCATCCTCCATGCAAACCAACTTGAGCTGGAAGGAGTTCTCCCCGAGGGCCCCGATGCAGCCAGCAAAGCCCAGCACCGACATGAGGCCTCCAACTACCACAAACAGCCACACGGGGTCAAGGCCTCGCAGATCTGTCAGCGCCAAGATGTTGGAGAGATCGCCTTTCTCACCCCAGGCCCAGAGGCCGATAGCCTGGAACCCAGCACCCAGAAGACAATGTTGAAGCCAAACAGGAAGCATTTCCCGCAGCAGCCGATCTCGGGTTCCTGGAAGTGCTGACGCTTGCCGGGCATGGTGAGCGGCCACCCGCCGGCCCGGAAACCGGAGCCGGGAGCCAGGCTCAGCGCCAGGCGGGCCACGCTGGGCTAGAGCTGCCCGGGGCCTAGCCTGGAGGCTGTGGCTTCGGAGCGCCAGTCGGGCTCTGCCCGCCCCTCAGGGACCGCCCTCGGCGTCCGGACCTCCTAGCCCTGAGCCCTGAGCTGTTCCCCATCCATAGATATTCTAATTTGGTAGGCCTATGGACAAAATCTTCATTTAAACAGATCCTTTGGCCAGGCACAGTGGCTCACACCTATAATCCCAGCACTTTGGGAGGCCAAGGCGGATAGATCACTAGGTCAGGAGTTCGAGACCAGCCTGGCCAATGTGGTGAAACCACGTCTCTTCTAAAAATACAGAAATTAGCCAGGCGTGGTGATGTGTGCCTATAAACCCAGCTACTCAGGAGGCTGAGTCAGGAGAATCGCTTGAACCCGGGAGGCAGAGGTTGCAGCAAGTCAAGATTGTGCCACTACATTCCAGCCTGGGCAACAGAGACTCCATCTCAAAAATAAATAAATAAATAAAAACAAACAGATCCTTTTGGGATTGTGTGTGTGTGTGTGTGTGTGTGTGTGTGTGTGTTTCTAATGACAGGGAACACGGTACAAATATGAGAACCTTCATGGGGTAAGCATTATTTGAAAAAAACTACCTTTTCCACGTTCTTTTTTCCTTTTCTTGAATAAATTTAACTGTCTGATCCTCAGGAAAAGACCCAGCAACTACTTTAAACAGATGTTCCTTGATTTCTGTAGGATCCGATGAGGTGCAGGAGTTGCTGGCATAATAATGGGTAGAAATGCCAGCTGACTTGGAAGAGTCCTGGCCCTTGAAGAGGACTGAATTCGAAGTCAGAAGACATAACTTTTGTTCCTAGCACTGCTCTCTCTGTGCTGTGGTCTTGGACAAGTCACATGAGCCCTCTGAAACACTCTTCTTACTTACTAATTGGGATGTACTCTGTGATGCACTCAGAAATCCTCTCAAAAATGAATTATTTACTCCCCTAGCTTCTAGAAGTTCTCCTGAAAGATGGCCCTCAGCTTGGAGCCCTCTTTAGGGATGGCCTCAGCTGAAGAAAACTGCCTTTTCCCAGGTCTGCCTCCTTGTAGATCAACCTATAAGACTGACTTATCCATGTCAGGGTAGAAAGGCCCAGCCTCTCTGCCCCATCCGGTGACAATTCTGAAGAGCCAGTCTGGACCAGATCTCCCTGTGGCCCTGACTGAGGCCTTTGTTATGACTGCCTCAATTCAGCTTCTCCCTCTGCCCAATGCTGCTTCCTTCTTCCTTCCTTCCACAAGTGTTGATTTTGAGAGCACTCCCTAGTAAATGCCTCATGTGCAAATATCTGTCCCAAGAAACCCAATTTAGGACAGCAATAATAATAATATTAGTCATCATAACAGCAGTTACCATTTATTGCATACTGACCATAAGTCAGGCAAAATACCAAGTCTCGTATAAACATCATTTTGTTTACTCTGTGAAACTGTCCTATCAGGTAGGAATTCTCATCTCATTTTACAGGTGAGAAATAATTTTATGAACTTAGGAGAAAACAACATAAGTAAATGTGCTTTGACTATTTCAAAATAGTATTACTTCTATTTATAAATTTCAACCAAAGAGATCTTCTTAAGCTCTGCAGTAGTACTCTCCAGATGAAAGCCTTCCAACTGTGTCTCAGTGGGAGAGAAGGCAGCTCTCCTCTCATCCTCTGCTGCCTGTCCCATTCAACCAACTCAAAGGGAACCCAAGAGGCTGCTTGGACCCTAGCCTATGACTCTTTATAAATGTCCTGTAGATTGCGATATTACTGTCTCTCTCTCTTTTTTTAAAAAAGCAAATGTGCTTTGCTTGGAATTCTGGTGGCATTTTTTTTTTCTAAATTCAGAAAATACCTTTGCATAGGAAGAAAAACAGCACCAACTCTCTCTGTCTCTGTATCCTCAGCCTTTCATGGTCTATATCACACGTCATATATTTACTCACCTATTGCACACCTTTCTGGCCATCTATCGTATATGAGGAAGTGGTAAGCACAAGAGGTAACCAATGAGAAGACCAAGATGCAGTCCTTGCTCTCAAGAGGTTTTGCCCTAGGTGCTGTGTCCCAGAACTTGGCAACAGGAATTTCAGATCCAAATTCTAATTTGGTAGGTCTGGTGGAGATTGGTGGTTTTGGCTGCAGTGGCTTCTTCATATAGGTCAACTTTCATGCCTCAGTCACATCAATGCATCCAGAGGTGGCAACAGGGCCTCCTTGTCTATGGCCTACAGCCTGAGGTTCTTCATATTTTGAAGGACTAAACTCACCTAGAGTGAGAGGGCCCCTGAATTAAGCTAAATATACTTTTTATTTTATTTTATTTATTTCTTTAATTGCATTTTAGGTTTTTGGGTTAAACATACTTCTTGACTGAGAATATCCGTCTTGGTTTTTGCGTAAACCCATGTTGAGGTCTTCTACCATTTCACACCAAATTCAGTCACATTCACTCTAGGAAAGTTAAGCTATTGTTTAAAAGTAATTTTTAAAATTCCCTTTCAAATTAACCACCACAGGCTGTCTGCCAATAACTGTGTTTATTTTTTAGAAAATCAATTGCTCTCTCAACAAATGCCTCATCCCTTTCAGTCAATATTCCCTCCATTACACACAGATAATGTTTAGTGTAGCAACTTCAGGGATCAGAGTCCATTTCTTTCATGGGGTTACCTGCAGCCAATCTAAATAGCAGGTGTTCAGAACATCATCTCCCTAAACACTAATAGATTTCATCTTTATTATGTTTACTTGTAAGTAGTTGTATGGAAAAGACTAGTATTTCTGCCTTCCTGCAGCCCTAAGATAAAGGTGCTGACTGTGGGCAGTGTTTGCTGACTCAGCCCCAAGCTCGCTGTTAATACTGCCCAGTGATTCCAGCTCGGGGTAGTCTGTGATGTGTGCAAAGCAGTCATTATACATATCACTGCTAATCAGAGCCTCAAAGGAAAGCCTCCAGTAAACCCTGCTAGTACTTCAATCAAAGATACTGAAAAAGAAGTTTATGCCTCTGACTTCTGAGTAGATTAGGATGTAGTGACATTTCCATAGGTTGTTTAATTCAGACTTGGTTTTCCCTTTTAGCCTCAGCTTAGGAAGAAGAAAAAATGACTGTGATGAGCTAGCATTTCTAAACAATAAACTCTTGTCTCAGTATTATTTTGAAAATCTGCATTGATAGAAATTTTTTAAAACAGTAATTACAAATTCTCCCCTGACCAAAGGATAAATGGCATTTTGCCCTTGGAAACACCTCTATAATATTAATGTTATTATTGTTATTTGTAAAATTTTTGATGTGACTCAAGGGTGCATTCATGGGTGCTGGAAGATATATGGAAGAAGCAGAAGACCAGATTCCTTTCTAATTAGGTCAGCCAATGCCAGAAAGTGATTACATTCATATTATTTCTGCTTTCACCTGAATAGCCTTTTAAACAGAACCTAGAAAAAAAAATGGAATATCAAACCTGTAAAGAACCTTTAGCACAGGACTCATTTTGCAAAGTGAGAAGAAGCCCCAGCCAGTTGTCTCTCATTTCTCTTGACTTGGGATCCATTGATCTGCCATGGACAAGTCTAAGATCGTAGGAGGGGGACTCAATGTTAGGGGCTTCACTTCACACCTAAAATGAAATCCAGACTCGTTATCATGGCAACCAAGTGGGCCGACGCTGCTGATGCCTCCTACCTCCTCCCCTCCTGCCCTGTGCCTCATCTTTCACGTCTCAGCTCTTATTATTTCCTGATAGTCTTTCCTTGAGCCCTCTAATGTTCTGTCTCCTTTATTCCCATGACCTTGATTTATTCTCTTGTGAGAACTTAAAAGAAACTAAAACCACCTTATATGCTTACTGTTTTGATGGTTGCTGTGTTCCCCAGCACCTGCGATGATGTTGCACACATAGTAGGCATGCAATAAATATTTGTTGAATAAATTATTGAATCCAAACTAATGAATCTTTATTAGCTGCTTATGACTAAATCGATAAATTATTCCCTGGACCACCAGGTGGCAGATCGTTTAGACAGTAAAGTAAATAGAATAGAAGAATCTTGGCCTGGTGACAGAACGTCAATTCTCTAATGACAGCGTTGCCATCCAGACTTTAATCTAAAACCATCTGCCTTTATTTTTCTTAACCTGGCCAGTTGGACAGCACATCTGCCATTGCTAGTGTTTCTGTAGCCAAATTATATGATTAACTCTTTAAAAAAACAGGAGCTTAGAAACAGAATGGATTGATACTATCATCAGTGGCAACTGTATGACCAGCCAGAGAGGATTATCTTTACCAGCCATTTGTTACTGTGATTTTTTCCTGCATAATTTAACTTCTTGAGCATGAGTCTGGTTAATTGTTGTCCAGATTTCAGTTGATGATTTTCTTTATTCATATCTTTGGATAAGGTGTTCTTATGCTTTGGGAGAATGGATTATTATTATAATGTGTCTCTCATCGAAACATTGCTAGCCTGGAACACACTTATTGTTATAACATGCACTCAGACTACTGACTACCTAGCTGATTTGAATCTAGGTTTTTGTTTATGAGGGTTTCAATGTGTATGTACAAATTCGAATTCACTAGAGTGGACTAGCCAAGAAAACAAAGGCTTTATTTGTTTTATTTTTTAATTTTTTTTTTACCATCGTCTTATCCTGTGCACTGCTTTTTACATCTGCTGTACTGTTATAACAATGCCAGGCATATAATGGGTGCTCAATAAATAGCTTTGAAGGAATGAATGAATCAAGTCCCTTACCACCTTAACTATCATCAAGTCATGGAAGATCTGTTCTGTAAGAGGTTTCCTGTAGGAAATTGCTCTTTTCCATTTGAAGTACGTAAACATTCAAGATCCATTCAGCTATCATCTCCTTAGGTGATGGATGTTAGAATAGTTATTAACCATTTACATATCACTTTTTATTAAACATCAACCCTGTGTCTGGTATTGTGTGAGGTGCTGAGGACACAAAGGTAGATAGGACCCCTGCCCTAAAAGA